CTTAAGCAGATCAAGCTACACAACTGTCTCGCTCATGCAGAAGGCCTAGTCCAGTCCCGTGGAGGCTCCACAGCTGTTGGTCGCAAGTTCATGAGTTCCCCTGAACTGGCTTACCCCAGTAATCAGATCAGTGAATATCTTAACTGTCATCATAGAGCCTTCATCCAATAACTGATGGAAGCAGATGCAGAGATCCACAGCCAAGCACTAGGCCGAGCTCCAGGAGAGGGCTCGAAGAGAGACAAGAGGGATTCTATGAGCAAGGGGTATCAAGATCATGATGGGGAAAGCTACAAAGGCATCCTCATTTTGTTAAGACTGCTGTTTACATTCCCCCAAGGACATGCACACTTGTGTTCCCATCTACCTTAGGAGGATCTGAAGTGTGGAGAAGCTGCACTATGTTTAAATACTAAAATGGGGCATTCTCTGTAATTATCATTTCCAGAACACTGTAAACTTCTATTCACTCATATAATATTTTTCTTATAGTTACTTGACTTCTTTGGCCAGGGTTATCTAACTGATAATATTGATTAATATTAAGTAATGTTAGCTTTCCATCTTATTTGTCCTCTGTATTTTATAAATTGGGTTCTCTGTAATAGTTTGATAACTCAGACAAGATCTCTCTCTCTCTCTCTCTCTCTCTCTCTCTCTCTCTGTGTGTGTGTGTGTGTGTGTGTGTGTGTGTGTGTGTGTGTGTGTGTTTGCTATTACTACAGTGATACTGTGTAGCCAGTCAGATGTCAGTTGCTTATAACTGAAGCATTTTTTTAATCATTTATGGGAGTGCAGAGTTGCTTGCCTGTCTCCATTCGAGGCCTATCTACCTTATGGCATCACTTTTATTAGTGGTATTGCTGCTACTGAGTAGTAAGTGTGCATAATGCCATTCACTTTGAGTGAGAAGAGTCATCTGATCGTTTTCCCCTTATTAACTTGTTAGAATAACTAACATGCAAATAGTGATAAAATCTATAGGTTAACTTTTTTAAAGTAGCATTTCATTTTTGAAGCTGATATATTAATGGTGTAATGTATATTAAGTTCCAGCTCTTCACTGCCTCTTGCCAATCCCGATGTATACTCTAGCAACTATCTCTCTGCTGGCATCACCTCCTCTAGTGAACTTCTCCTTATATGTAAGAGGCTACTACCAGATACAATTCCAGATAAAATGATACTACTACTTTTCTGATCAAAAAGCCTTTCAAGGAGCTGTAGATGGCTTAAAAGTTTAACAATTACTACTTGTCCAGAGGATTCAAGCTCATTCACAACACCCACAGAGGGCAGTTCACAAAGCCTATATCTCCAGCTCCAAGAAATCTAACTATGCACTTTTTTGGTCTTGACAGGCTCTCATACATGTGTAACATTTGCTCACACATACAATAAATAAGAATAAGAATAAATCTTACAAAAAAAGGCTTTCAAGTGGATCCCCACCATCCACAGGATAAAATCAAAAGCTTTTCATGACTTAGTCTTGAGCCTTGGTATGATCCTTTATTTGCCTCATGGTTTTAAGAACAAAATTGTGCCTTCCTACACATACTGTTCATTTAACATTGGATGGTGAGCTTCATTCAGCCTGAACTAGACGATCTCAGTCCTATTCTTACATGTTCTTATTCTATGCATCCTTAAGGCCTGAGTTTAATGTTGTACTGGAGCATTCTATATCCTCACAGTAACTAGTTGATGACTTCTTACAAGATTAAAATTTTATCCTTTCCCTTTTAGGGCATCTATCATTCTCTTCACAGTATCATTGCTATTTATGTTATTACTTCTAATGGACTTCAATCCTAAGTTACTTCCTTGAATACTAAGGAAATATTAAAATAAACATACATTTTCCATTTCATTAATAATGTAATTGTTCCTCCCTGCTATGCAAGCCAATTAGCTTAATTGGGTTCCTTATGTAACAGTCCATGACAGACTAAAAGCTGTTCAAGCTCCAGTTCTTTCTGTCTTTTGCAGTCATGTTTCATGAGCTGACCCACCAGCAGCACACAGTGTGGCTAGATGCAGTACTTACGTTTTACATTCATTTTGACTTGTATACTAGATGTGGCCATATTAGGGATCAGGCCTTTGGAAGCTTTTCAATTCCAGGGAATACCGGGCTGTGCAAACACTCTAGTTTTACCCGATTCAGAAGCTGTGGACAGGGCAGCCTGGCCTGCCAATGACTGTGCTGTGCTGAAAGCCCCTCTGTACACTCTCTGTACTTTGTGGTTGGAGCTGCCCCCTAATATGGAAGGTAATCTTTTCACTGGAAGTAGAGAAATAACTGGAATGAAACAAATGGAAAGCCAATGACAGAGGAAATTAACTGCATTTGTGTCTTATACAAGTTGTAGAACATTAATTTGAACACTAATTTAATGTTATTTTTACTGTGACTACTTTGAGCTTAATTCAACCTAACTCTTTCTTTAGAAATCATGGGTAAGTTTTTCTTCATTGTATGTTCTTCCTCTGTCATTTCTGGTAAACCTAGGCTGTGGAGTAGACAGAACCTAAATCCAGGGGATTTTGTTTCTACTTTTTCCCACAGTAGGCATGGGGGCATCATTAGAGTACTCTGTATTCTGCAATTTGGTTATGTATCACTAATTGTTGAATTTCAATGTAGACAATTTTTCTCTAATGAAGTTCTTTCATTCTTCAGTCTCATGACTTGATTCTGGAAAAGTAAAAAATACAGAGAATGTAGTTTAATGTAAACTAGACTACAGAGCTAACTGCCTCCTCACAGCCTCTTTCTGTGAGACTATTTAAATGAAAACCTGGTTGGGAGGTAATTTTCTTAGAGGTATTGGGTAAATCTTCATAAATTCAATTTCCAGTTTTGGCAGCATTCACAAAAGTAGAACATAAAAGTCAGACATGTGCACATTTTCCACCAGCTTTATTATGTAAAATACTCAATTTTCACAAAATCGAGTATTTCAAGGTTGAAAAAAACTCAAATAAATCACATGAATAGTTTCAAAGAGGCACATGCCTGCACTTCAATATGATTACTTGCTCTCAATCATCTATACATGCTGAAAAGGAGGTGACTCCAGTGGCCGATGGGAATAAAAAGAGAGTGTCTTAGTTAGGGTTTCTACTGCTGTGAAGAGCCCCCATGATCATGTCAACTTTTACAAAGGAAAAACATTTAACTGCGGTGGCTTACATTTTCAGAGGTTTAGTCCATTATCATCATGGTGGGACATGGTTATGTGCAGGCAGACATGGTGCTGAAGAAGTAGCTGAATGTCCTATATCTTGACTTGCAGGCAACAGGAAGTGGTCTGTTTCACTGGGCCTGGCTTGAGCATATATGAGGCCTCAAAGCCCGCCTCCACAGTGAAACACTTCCTCCAACAAGGCCCTACCTCCTAATAGCACTACTCCCTTTGGGGGGGCCATTTTCTTTCAAATGACCATAATAAGCAAGGAGCCAAGAAAATTTGAGGAACCCATGTACATGCCTGCCAGTGTTTGGAAACCTTTTCATAATGTTCACGAATATGTGGTAGAGAATGTAACCTCCCTATTGCTTCCTGGGAGCCCAGCCTCCCTTTGAGCAGCACAGGGCTCAAAGGGAAATCCACAGTGTTGGCGTGTACTAGACTTTTCTATCTGACGGGGTTAGGGAAAAAGACACACACTCCCTTGATGTTTTCCTTCTTTATTCTCTATTCTTCTCTGTTTGTCTTCTGTATACCCTTTTTTATATAGCTTATATACACCAACAAAGTTTTTCAGGCAATATAGGAATTACAAAGTGGTTACATTCCATTTTTCAGGTGAATGATTATAATGAATACAGGTAAAAACATGTTTTTCATTTCCCTTACATGATTAAAAACAAAGTCACTCCAATAACCCACATACATTACATCTAAGTAACTTGTTACAGATTAACAGAACACGAGCAAGCAGAAAGTGTTTTTTCTTAGCCAACTCTTCTGTTGGCAGACTGCATATTGCAGTTACGAAGAAAGAATCATTCACTGTGTCATTTATCTTGAAAGGTAATCTTATAAGGAATCTTAAAGAAATCATAAACCTAAATTTTTATACATAAAAGCCATCAGTCACTTGTACTTTGAATCTTTAGTGTACTTACCCATTCATCAATAGTTTCTTATATCAAGAGATTGAGGGCGGGAATAGGTACAAGGAATTAATCACCTTTGATTATAAACCAAACCTAGCAAGGAAAGTACATCAGCTAGTAGCAGTTGGGCTGCTTTGTATTTTTGACCCTAATCTAATGAGTCTATAACTCAGCTATGTGTCCTTGTGAACTTTAGATTGTTTTCTGGGGTTTTTCATTTTAAAGTTATTACCAAAGCATCTTATCTAACCTGAAGTTATTTCAAAGCTTTGTTTCAGCTAATAATGCACACCAAAACCTGTGACTGGGTCTTTCAGCATCAAGATTAAAGGAATTTGAGCCGGTCTGGCTCCTGGGACTCAACTGTTTTTCTTAATCATTAACCTGAGCTGTGATCTAATGCAGCTCCTTAAATGAAACTCACAGGCCCTAGCTGTGTAACATTTCCTTGTATTTTTATTCATCAAAGATCTGTGTAAGCTAACATTTTATTATCAATTAGACAGTATAATTTAGGGAGGAATCATCTTCATAATAATCCACAGGTAAAGATGCCCAGTAGAATGGGATGTTTCCAGGAGACGAACAAACTATATTACAGGCGGTGGGGACCTCCCCACACCCGTTCACACTGTGCCAGATGCCAGAGGAAGACAGCAGAAGCAAACATGTAAAGGTCTCAGGGCCTTGGCTATACAAGATTCACCCATCAGAGAGTTTCCTCCTGGTGGGCTGACACATTGAACTTCAATTGCTGCCTGCTGTTTCTCTGATACGGCCATCATCGGCACCTCCCCTTTTCAAAAACCTTCCACGTGAAAGTTAAGATCATTTTGTTCATCTGCACAGTGATGTGTCTTTGTTTTAACAGGACCACAGCAAGGATGTGGGGGATACCTGACAGATGACAACAGTACCTTTGTCTCTCCTGATTCTGACTCAAATGGAAAGTATGACAAAGGTCTAAACTGCATATGGTACATAATTGCACCTGAAAACAAACTCATTAATCTCACCTTTAGTAAGTTTTCTCTGGAGGCAGCAGCACAGCAAGGAATCTGCAACTATGATTATGTGCAGGTAAGACTGCTACACTGTAAGAGCCTACTCTAAAATAGTATGTTCCATCTTATTATCTAGAAGTCTTCAAAATGGGACCACTGTTGCTCACAGTGGCTTCAGTACATATTATAGATTCTAGTTTCCTGTTCAAGTTCATGTTTGATAATCATGCCTCAAACTTCAAGTGACTTCTAACATTCACTTCAAGATTCAGTTCTGACTTGTTCAGTGCCTTGTTAAGAAGTGATCTATGGGAAGATTGGGCATATGGAGTGAGATACTCAAAGGAATTTGACAATTCCTAATATAAATGACATCTGAAGTGCAAAAGAAAATTACCCTTTAATTGGTCTAAAGCTTCCTAAGGAGTTCAAAGAATCACACTTCCTTAGACAGCATGAAGCTAGACAGCCATGCTCCCATTCAGGGCTAGGAAAGGTACCCAGGGATGCAGAGGGAGCACAGACGACAACAGGAAGGAAACAGATGAGTGAGAAAAGCTGAGACAGCCAGCAGCAGTGTGATGCACTGACATCAAGGGAAGATGCTTTTCCCTAGGATGTGTGGGTGGACAGTGCCATTAAGCGGCAGGTCACAGGCCAAGAAAGGCTATGATGAAGAAAGTTATTCTACTGGATGAGAACCATTTTAATAAGACAATGGGATAGAAGCCGGTCGATCCAAGGGAGTTCATGGGGAATGAGAGATAAAGTGTGGGATGACCTATGTCAATTCAAGCTCAATCCTTCTCTAAAATGAGACCAAGTAGCCAGAACAGCTTAAGATGTTATTTAAAACCAGCCTCCCCAGGTTACCGAAAAGTAATAGGATTTAAAGGCAGATAGTAGGTTGACTCAAACCCAGTTTTGCTCCCAGACTAAATTCTTGATCAACCTGACTCCTTATCACTTTATTTAATTTAAAATGGCCATACAATAGTAGCTCCTTTGCAAGGTTATTTTGAGAACAAAAATGATGTGTGTTAGGGTGTTGCCCATTGTGTCACATAATAATTCATTAATCCATTTACTTCCATTTCCCCCTTGGGTTATTTCCAAGTAGGCATAGAGATTTTTTAATTTCCTTTTCTTCAAAATACTGAAAATAGGGGTAGGCAAGGTGCCTGAACAGGTAAAAGCACTTGCTTCATAACCCTGAACTCATAGTGAAAAGTGGTTCTCGGCATGCTGCGGCATACATGCACCTATACTTGAACACACACACACACACACACACATACACACACACACACACACTCACACATACACACTCACACACACACACTCACACACACACACACTCACACACACACTGAAATTAATGAATATTTAAAAAGTAATTCATACAAAGAGTAGAAACTTAACTCCTGAGAGATATCTTAGGTCCTGCAAGGAGGTAAACTGGTTGACTTGATTTTCAAGAGCCATTTCTGTGAGCGTGACTTGGTGATATATAAGAGCTTGTGACCATATGAAATTCCTAAAGTCACTTTGACAGAAATAGCAGCTAGGCAAGGTGCCTGAACAAAAGGAATCGTTGTTTGCTATCTTCAAAATGAAATCCTAATGGTTATTTATTTATTTATTTATTTATTTATTTATTACAAATAAGAGCTCTTCAGGGCTACCCTTATTGTCCATTTTTTGGAGAGCAGTTTTACACACTGACAACTTTCCCACTGGATAGCAGACCCGAGGACAGTGCTGGGAATGTGAAACTTTGAGAAGTCTCCATTAGAGAGAGAGAGGCCTGCGCAATAAAAGGGACAATTCATTCAGGCTCACCGCTTGAGGACATATCTCATCACGGCGGAGAAGCCATGGCAGCAGGAACGGGGGGCAGCTGGTCACATTATGTCCACAGTCAGGGATTATTTTCTCCTCTTGCATTCAGTTTGGAACCCCAGGTCATAGACTGGTACCACCCACATTTAGGGTGTGGTTTTTTAAATTTCAGTTAACCTAATCCAGAAACTCCCTCACAGACATGCCCAGAGGTTGCTCCCCTAGGTCATTCTAGATCTTGTCAAGTTGATATCAATACTTAATATCACCTTTTAAATTGTCTGTTCAATATTGCAATAAAATCACACTCTAGGAAAGCTAAGTTGACTCAGCTCTTTAGTGTGCAAGCCAGGTTATACCATAAAGATGAAATAACTATGCTAGTCTGGGTCTTGAATGTCCCACCAAAGCCCAGCGGTTAAGAAGCCATGGCTGCCAACACAGGGCGTCATTAGGAAGGCAGGTCCCCGAGGACACCACCCTTTGAGAGGACACTTGAGCCCCAACCCCTCCTTTCTCTCCTCATCACAGCTTCTATGCAGTGTGCAGCCGCCTCCAGTATGTCCTTCTGTCACGATGCTTAGCCTCAGCACAGGCCCCAGACAGCAGAGCTCTGTAACTATGTCTCTGTAGAGATGAGTCATGCATGGACTGTGACTGGGAGACAAAGTATATCTTTTTATTGATTATTATAGGCATTTTGTCACAGTAATGCCAGGAAACAAAGGATTCTAGGAAGCAAGGTGTGGCTGGGTTATTGTTCCCGGCCCCATAGCCATGCCATCCCCACCCCAGTGTTGTGCAGGGTCCCCCCACAGTGGAGACTTGGTGTTGTCAGAGAACAGAAAAGAGATAGAAAGAATGTCAGGTTTGACGGCACAGGAGTCTAGGAACTGCGCTAGTTGTAACTATGTATCTCCAATCAGTTGGGAGATTCTCACTTTAACAGCGATTGAATGAATGTCATGCCTGCACAGGGCACCTTCTACCCAGCCCTCGCTTCTCCCTCATACTTCCCTTCACATTTACCAGTCCCTACTTAAAACCCATGTCCGGTCTTGTAGAGTGAGACCCAAGCTCCTTGGCATGAAATGGGTGGTCTTCCCTGCTTCTCTCATACCCAATACACTTCTTTCTTTTATAGTTTGTATTTCCCCTATTTTATTTGACATATTTACTTTTATCTTTCTTTGTTCTTTTTTTTGTATTTTCTCATACACATTTGTAAATATATTTATAGAGAGAGATACATATACACACATACGCTCACATTTACTTTGGGCCCTTCTCACTGGCCAGTGAGCATTTCGAAGGTACAGAGAGTGCTTTGATGCTTCTCCGTACACAAAAGACCCAACGCAAGTCAGGCACATGAAAAATAAAAAGGGAAAAAGCTTGCGATGATCATGAAGACTACAGTGGGTATAATGATACCTGATTTATCAGAAAAAGTACATTGTCCTAGACTTGCAGCTCTTTTTTTCTGTAAATTGGGGGGTTTAGATTACAGAATTCCACTTTTACATTCTCGGCATGAATAGAAATATTCATACAGGAGAGACAGTGCCATCTAGTGGTCAGTTTATCTAACTTTTAATTTTGAAATTCACCATCTCTAGAGAACAATGTCAGGGAAGCACTGCTCTGAGATCTCTGATCTGATGTGGTTCTATTATGAGCTCATATCTGGAGCTACACAAACACAGAACACATGATTAAAGGACAATTAAGATTACTGAAATATAAGTAAAAGGTAAAACCTACTTCATTTGTTTAATAAAGTATTTGAGGTACATCTAGACCATCACTATTTCCTTGGGTGTTTGTAAAATGGTTCGTGGTGCTGGAGGCACTTCTGAGCATAGCTCCATTCCTCTACTTGTGGAACTCATATTCTTGCAGAGAGAGAGCCCAGTAAAAGCAAATAAACAATAAAAATACTGTTTGATTACAGTAAAGTAAAACAGGACGATACTGGAGGAGGGCAGCAGTGTGTGGGGCCGGCCTCTCTGAGGAGGTGACTTATGAGCTAAGGCTCCATGGCTGGGAGTTGCCAGTCCTTCAAGAGAGACTATGCCACCAAGGGAGGAGAATGCCAGAGGCAGTGAGGGGAGCAATGTGAGAGGAGGTATAGCATCTTTATTGGCCAGGGCTTGCAGATAGTGGTATAGAGGGAAGATTCTGCATTAGGTGAAGGTGTAGCTTTGCAGGAAGAACAAGAGCATAATCTAGGTCACCCAACACCTGGGCAGCATGGTGGAGAACTCCGTGGGTGCTCGGTGTAACTGACTTGTGAACCATGTTCTGGAGGCATGGGGTGATGTGGCATTGATGTAGATGTATTTAGAAGGTGGAAAGAAGCAGGCATGGTTGTAATGGGAATGAGAAAGAGCTGAGTATGACTGAAGTTTAGTCTTCAGCTATTTATTGACATGGAGAAGACTTGGGGAGAATGTTTTAGGAAAGTGTATGCTGTGGTATAAACATATCACATTAGTTTGTGTTAGAAACATAAACCTCAAATCCACATGCTAATGGTATAGGGGGAGCTTTGCGATATAATTGGGGTTAGATAAAGTCACGAGAGTGGCATTTCTAGGATGGGGTAAATGACTTCATAAAAGAGGAAGCGACTGCAGAGCTGGCATGCTCCTGCTATCTCTTCATATGATGCTTTCATGTCAGAAGGTAAGAAGGTCCTCATTGGAGGCAGCCCTGGAATTCTGGAGACTTCTCAGCCTCCAGAACTGTCACCAATCAACTTGTTTGTTTATAAATGACATTGTCTATGGTACTCCGGTACAATAAGACAGCACAAACCAAGGCAGGTGGGTAGTGGGAGAAAAATCAAAGCATTTACTAGGTACCGATGAAACATTGTTTATGCCTTACATACTCTTAAAGTCTGGGAACCCCGTGGGTCATATAGGAGGCAAGACCTGAAGGGATCATAAAAGAGACACTGAGGATACAGGAAGGAGTGGTCCAGCAGAGGAAGGCAGATGCTACAGCTGTGAAGCCCGGCTGAGCCTGGGATGCTCAAGGAGCTCAGACAAGCAGACAGCCAGAAAGGAGACCCATGAGGTCTGAGGTGGGAGGGGAGCCCATTCCATTAGGCTGTGACAGCTGTTGTCATGAATATGGCCTTTGTCGTAAGAGGGTAGGAAGCTGTTAGGCAACTCCTGGTCTGGCTTCATTTTAGCAGCAACTTCTGGGTGACATCTTGAGAGTAAAGAGGAGAAATAAGAGCTTACTTAGCCAGGAAGCTTCAGGAAGAGCCTCTAGTAAGAATTCGGGCAACAGAGATATTAGTAATGGGTCTGATGAGTCCATGGCCATATTTTTAATTATATACTACTTTTCCTAAGAGAAAAATATATGTTTGGCATCATACTGGATTTTTACTGAAAGCCATTATAGTATTATCAATCTAAATTAAGACCGTCTGAAAGAACATCAATATAAAGATCCTTAGTGCTGACCTATGGTAGCCTCAGTGCAAAATAACAAATTTCTCTAGTAATAATGAACTACTAAAAACTACTTTTTCTTCCAGATAGCAGATGGCAGGAGCATAAGATCAAATTTAGGTGGAAGATTTTGTGGTTCCCAAATACCTGCCCCGTTTATCTCTTCTGGCAACTCCCTTACGATTCAATTTGTCTCTGACATAACTTTTGAAGGAGAAGGATTTAATGCAACATATACCTTTGTGGACAGTAAGTATTTTGACATACTATGAAATACATGTGTCCTTAGGCACAGACAAGAATGCATGCTTATTATATCAAATTAATTACAATTTTAGTGGATGATTAAACACATGTGGGCTACATTCATTGCTCTTCTTTTGCTTTTCTTTAACGAAGTCTCATTAAGCTGCCAAGCTAGCCTTGAACTTCATCCTCCTTCATCAGGCTTGCAAGGAGCTGGGATTGCAGCCCTTCATCACTAGGATATAAACTCAAATCCTTAAAAGAATAATAAAACATTTCTGTGGGCCAGGCTAGAGGCAGATTTTAAAGATGGTATGTACAATTAGACACAATTAAAACATCTACATGTTTTCTCTCTCCTCTCTTCAGTGCCTTGTGGTGGAACACATGTTGCAACTTTGACCCCACAAAACGCATCGTCACCTCATTTGTCAAACATCAGACGACAATTTTCCACCTGTACTTGGGTCATTGAGGCTCCTCCACACAAGCAGATCAAGATCACTGTGTGGGAATTACAGTTAACCTCACAAGACTGCTCACAGAGCTACTTAGAGCTTCAGGATTCACCACAGGTAAAGACCCCAGAATGGTGGCCATCACATCTGTAAGTAATGAATCCACAGCTGAATAAAGTCCCCGTTACTTCTAGAATTGTATTTTTTTTCAGCAAGAGATGAAACCCTCCTTTCTATAATACTGAGAGACTTAAATGTAGTCCTGTGAGAAAGAGGCTTTCAAATTGTCCTGTGTCTAAGAATCACCCGGGTATCTTGATAAAAATGCACCTCCCTAGGGCCTCCCCCTCCCTCAGACATTGATTCATCAGCATAACACACATTCATCAGTGTTTGATGAGCATATCTTGTGCTCTGCCACCAATCTCAGAGCTCCATGGGCCACACCTGGAGAACCACATCTGTGGCCAGCAGGGTATGTACAGGGTGAACTGAAGGGATCCATACAGAATACAGGAAAACCAGCTAAGAGGCCGTTTGGCTTAGTGGGGTTACACTTATGTCAATGTGAGAGAATAAACAAGGGGGAACAGAAGCTGTTTGGGCTCAAAGAGATAAATAGCTGAGTCTTCACTTCACATGGGGAAAGATGACAAGACAGCTGGTGTGTAAAAGACCCAGAGATTTGCGCGTGATTATGTCCTTGATAGGTAGTGGAATGAGGAATGTAATGACACGGTGGCCAGAGAAAATATTTAAGTTCAGGCAGGGCTCATGGGCTGAGCTCATACCCTGAAACTATTGGGAAACATTTGGGTGGTCTCTGTGGTTGAGGGAACAGCTAACCCGTGTACTCTCAGAAGGCCATTTCAAATGTGCCTGGCAGTCACAGAGCTCTAGCTGTCACCTTCTGAGTTTTCAACCCTCCTCATTATAAAGCTGGGGTTCCCTGGTTCTTACGTGTCCCTAACTTGCTGGAGGAGGTAAAAGTCAAGCTTGACTTGGGATAGAGGGTCAGAGATGCACAAGCTAGAGACCAGCTGAATGCTGTGTACTCTTAGGCTTCCAGGTTACTCTTAGGCTTCCAGGTTACTCTTAGGCTTCCAGGTTACTCTTAGGCTTCCAGGTTACTCTTAGGCTTCCAGGTTACTCTTAGGCTTCCAGGTTACTCTTAGGCTTCCAGGTTACTCTTAGGCTTCCAGGTTACTCTTAGGCTTCCAGGTTACTCTTAGGCTTCCGGGTTACTCTTAGGCTTCCGGGCTGGCTGAGATGCTAGGTTAGTGACATTCCACCCACAGCACTTGTCAGCACAGAATTCCTAGTTCCCAGTGGAAGCCTACGAGGATGACTTAGAGCCAAGTGAAACTAGACCCTTTGCGTCAAGGTTCTTTCAGTTTCCTGTCACTTTATGAAGCTGGAACAAGGGGAATCAGGACAGACTCCTCATCAGAGCACCAAAAAAGGCATGTAAAGGGTATGGGGGAACTGAGATATAAGATCAGCTGAACTGGCCTCAAATAATACAAGTGAGGATCTTTAATGCACTGTCTATAAAAATACTCAAGGCCTCTAAAGGCTCAGAACAAGCCTAGGACATAGAAAATTACTACGAGTTAATATACCACAGAGGATAGATGCTATAATGAAAAACACACTATGTATTCTCAACAATGAGAAATACGTATTTCTCGTCACTAACAATATGCTTAAACTGAATGAATAAAGGAGAATACAGTGAACAAATAGGGGATAAAGACAAAAATGATAGATGAGTTGGGGAAAAATGGAATTCTCAAGTTCTCCAAGAGTAGAAGGAGAAGCTAGTTGGAAGATCATGAAAGGCTTATTTGGTGGGCGTGGGAACACTGGAGAAGGTGTAGGTGGAGAGCTGGCTCTGGGGTAGACAACCATGGAAAGTGGAAAAGAGTATCACCCCTGTCAAGTTCAAAGGGAGGGTGTTTAGTGCACTGTCTCTAAAACTACTTAAAACCTCTCAGGGCTCAGAGCAAGCCTAGGACATAGGAAATGACTAGGAGCTAAGCCACCACAGAGGATAGATGACATAATGAGGAACACAAAAGAACCCTTCCCACCACCCTGCACCTCTTCCACCCAGTGAACTGTGGAGAAAGGCTTCACGAGGCTGCTGGAGACCTGAGATGCATGTAGGACTACAAAGTTGAAAGTCCTGGGATGTCAACATTGGGGGGTTAGCAATGCAGTTAAGTTTAGAGTTTGTAGCAGACAAACTTAGGACAAGGTCAATACAGAAGAGAGTGGGCTAAGGGTAGGTGTAGGAGCACAGACCAGTAGCGGGAGTCTAGAAGCAGGGCTGGAGCCTGTGCCTTCAGACAGAGCCAAGAACTGCATGTATTTCAGCCATATGCATAATGTGACAGGGGCTGCTGGGTGCTGCCTTTGGGGTACTTGCTTATCTGTGTAGAAATTATTAGACGTTTACCCTGTGCATTGAGAGGGAACAAGGGCTCCAAAGTGCTGCTGAAGAGAATGGGGACATGATTACAGGTGCTGACTGCCAGGGATGCCGGGAAAGGGATGCTCTTAGGAGTATGACCAACTCTGGCTAATGTAATTGAACTCTAGACTGTGGGAGAGGCTGAAGTGAGAGACCTGTAGGGAACTCCCACAGCCTGGCTCCGCTCCCAACAAAACACCTGCTTTCGCTGCGATATGGCTTGAGAGGGAACAATCTTGTTTTCTGTAGGGAAGAGTCTGCTCATGGCTTTCGAAGAAACCCTGCTCCTTACCTCCCATCCCTCTAGGAAAGGTGGGGCACTGCTAATGCTGAGTGCTGCTGGACACTGGAGACACGAGCTGGTTTTCATCACTGGATACTAAAGTCACATGTTAAATACGGTTTACTATCTAGTGTGGCTGCCCTCTTCTGAAACCAAATCTCAGGCAATGTGGCTTCTATTTCATTTCAGAGAAATGGACCAGTGACTCAGTTCTGCAGTGCCAACTTTACAACCCTGCCAGCATTTTATTCTTCAACGAGGACTGCAATGGTCGTTTTCAGATCTGACGTTTTGAACACAAACTCTCGAGTGCATTTCACCTATCAGATTGCAGGTGAGCCTAAAACTTCATGCTTATGGGGGAAAGCAGCTTTGGGGACAGGAATTGCTGGAACTGACTCCTGTGAATACATCAGGTGTTGTTAAGGTAAAACGAACCCATCCGAAGTAAGATTCAACTGAGACTCAGGCCTAACTTAGCCAATTGAAAAACTAAGCTGTTCAAGGTATCTCTCATAGCACGCTATTCACTTATACGAAGTTCACAGTTCACAGATTTTTGGTGTGGCCACAATGGTGGGAATCACTATATCTTAGGAAATTATTTTGTAAATACCACGGTGCTTTGAAGAAGTTCCTTGATTTTGGTGACCGAGAAGTGCTTGCCAAGAATATTTCATGTAAGAACTGTTTTGAACTTGATTAAAACCAAAGCAGCATTTGATTCAAAGACACAGTTGCTTCTGGTTTTTATTTTACAAAATAAAATGGTAAAAAGAAATATGTGAATTGTATCAGAACTGACAATTCACCAAAGGAAAACCTAACGCAGATAGTATCTGGGAGGTTGAGTCTTTGGGTCTAGAAAAGGTCTAAATATCAGCACTGACTCTCGAACTTTCCCTCCCTGTGAGCAGGAGGGTTTCAAAGATGCTGGAGTGTTCTTCAAAGGGTGCGGGCATTTCACACTTTTCACATGGAGGTTGTTCCACATTAGCGAGGCACGGCACTGCAGCTGTGAATATGCGGTTCTCAGCATCTCTCAAATTGTCACCATCTCTCAGGTCCCAGTTTTCGCAAATATCAGCCAAAGGGCTGCAGTAGCTTCTGAACTTTGCTCAGATTCAGTAGACTTTAAACACTGAATTGTCAAGATGAAAGAACATCAAATATGTGGGTATGCACATTAATTATGAATATTGTTTTTATCTCAGATTGCAACAGAGAATACAACCAAGCATTTGGTACTCTGAAGAGTCCTGGGTGGCCTCAAGTATATGATAATAACCTGGACTGCACCATTATTCTGAGAGCCCCACAGAACAACACCATTTCCCTCTTTTTCTATTGGTTTCAACTGGAAGATTCAAGACAATGCACGCATGATTTCTTGGAGGTAATATATATTTGAATGTAATTTAAATGGATGATGCAAAAAGATGAAAGACTGCTAAGAATTTTTCTATAGTGATGTTAATCTAATGCATCTCTCTTCATTTTCTTAAGTTAATCGTTATTTTTCATTCTATAAATGTGTACTGAGCGTATTCTAGTTTCAGTACTGGAAGTACAGTATGGATGACAGTGTCAGTCGGTTGAAACAACATTCAAGAAGGGAAAAGAGAAGAGAAGACTTTTTCAAGGAAGTTAGATCCGAGTTCTAACCTGCAGAATGAGTGAGAACGCCAAGGGCAAGGTGGCGATGGCATTATTTACATGTAAAGGTTTTGACACATTGGTTCCTAGGGGCATTAAATGGGTGCAGCACCTGTGTTATGCCAGCACTGAATCTAAAACTTCCTGATTGGCCTTGTGGCTATACAGGAAAGGCTCCGAAAGATGTCCACAGCCTCCACATCTAACTCAGAGATTTATTTATTCCTTTTGTTACAGGCCTCTTTGATCAGGTCCATAAAAGCTTAATCACTATTTTAACTGTGCACGTAGTTAGAGTACAGTATGATATCGCAAACACATAGACAATGCATATTAATCAAATCAGAGCAGTTAAAATTTCCGTGTTTGGTTAGCTTTATATTCCAAATAAGTTCTCCAGAATGGTCTGAGCTTTGTGGGATAAACCACTTCCAGGCTCATGGGCCTCTTTTCTTCTGATGTTCCTTTTCCAGGCTAACAGATCACCAGCCCATCCCCAGCTATCTTGTTTCAGTACCATCCTATCCCACTCACCCCATGTGTGGTCCTCAACCTGAGGGAGAATCGTATCTCTGGACATGGTCTTTGCACATAAGTTCAGCTCCCACAAGCTTCCTGATGTCTTATTATGTAGGAAAGCTCCCCATATAGTATTAAACCAAATCTGTTGTAAATCAGTATCCTTCACAAATAGTGAATTCCCAGGGAATGCTCATGTCTTCCTCATGGGATACTTTCCATGGCAGGAGAAGCCATGTTGTTTGTGCTAGTCAGATGTTAGACTCAGATTCACATGCTTATCCATCCTCAAAATCAAACGTTTCTATGAAGCGCTAAGCAGAAACAAGAAGAGTGTGACATAGAAAAGGGGTGGGCTCCCCTGCTAACTCGGAGTCATCCCCAACCCACATTGCCTTTTACTGGTCCTACTTAGCCTTGGTCATTTGTCATCTGGATGCTGGGAAGTGAAGTCTTGCTTTTTAGCATTGGAGGGTGAGAACTATGCCACCCAGACATCCCCCTCCACTCCAGAGAATGGATGAGGAACTTCCTGTTACATTATCAGAGACAGAAAGTTATAACACGGCCTGTCAAACGTATCTGAGTCTGGTGCTCCAAAGAGGATTGTACGCAGGAAGCTCTAGTGTTCCATTCATGTTAACTATGGTGGGAACGGAAGTCTTTCATGGGAACTCTACAGTGTATTGCTAGCAGAGAGGGCCCTGCTCCAGACCCTACTCTGAACGAATGTACCTCCGACTCCCTCTCTACTCCCCAGATATGCTTCTGCTCTGCATTACCCCGTTCTCTTAGAAAAGTGAACGTGGCAAGCTCCATGCTGTATGTGTCTCATCCTCAGCAGTGACTTAAGAGGAGGATCCCAAGGGAAGGAAACTCAAAGTCAAGAGTAGGGGGTGGCAGGTCAGGCCTTCCAACTTAAATATGGTAGCTATCCCATGGACCTGGAGATAACAGGCCAGGCTGTCCCACCTAGAGCCATTTTGTTTAAACGTTTAGCGGAAGAAACCAACAATAAACACTCACTGTTGCCTAGGTCTAGAAGTCCCCTGTCCCCATGTCGTCGTCCCCCCCCCCCCCCCCCCCCCCCCCGGCCAACTCATTCACCCAGTGAGTCCCTCTTCACCTTGGCAGAGGCTGGGTGACGGAAGCTAACAGGCCAGCCAGGTTCTGAACTGTGGAAACCGAAAGGGAAGGAGGGCGGCTTCTCGGTTTCTAAACACATAGATGCTAAACCCATCTCTTCCACACACGGCCTACCCATTGCCTAAAACCATTCACACGTGAAGCCTCTAGAGTGCTCTGAGAACACACAGTAGACAGCAGGATATCACAGGTGCTTATCCTCCCGCCCCCACCCTCCCCCTACCCTCCCCCCCACCCCCACTCATTTCCTGTCTCTCTTCCAGGCCTGAGAGGAAAAGAAACTCCACAGGGTCAGAAATATTATAGGTGCATGGAACCATTTCCTTTTCCCACATGGAAAAGACCTGCTGTTTCTGAGCTTTGGTATACTTCGTACATGGCAGCCACTGTTGGCTTTTCAGTGGGAAATACCGCACCAACCACTGTCTACCAGGAATAAAGTATAATGACTGGAAACAGTCCAACCACTGGTGCCCACCCCGCCTTTAAAACTCACTTTACATCCCTTTAAATGTCTGCATACATAGCAGAGTTTGGAGGACCATGGTACCCGCCAGTACATCACAAGGATGCCTGATGTTTCCATGGCTATAGTTCAAAGGGTATTTTCTAAATCCCAATGCAAATGGTGTGTGATGGAAATTCTAACTTTTTTTCCTTTACAAATGAAGGTGACTTCCCCTGTGTTTACAGAAAAATCCTCCGTTCTTAGGTATGTAAAGCCTCATCCCAGTGTTCTGGAACCTGAAGAATGGAAGTTTGAGGCCAGACTGAGCTAGGGAGGGGACACTGTCTCAAAATACAGACAGAACACTTACTGGACTTTGTCTCACGTGCTAATGATAAACTGAAGCAGGAATAACATGGATGAGATAACTAATGAGTGATTTTTAACAGGTAAGAAATGGCAGCAACAGCAGCTCACCGCTGCTTAACAAGCACTGTGGAACACTCCTGCCAAACCCCATCTTCTCTCAGAGCAACGAACTGTATCTGCGGTTTAAGAGCGATAACTCAGTCACCTCCGCTGGATACGAAATTATCTGGACCTCCTCTCCATCTGGTAAGATGCTCACTGTGAGGCTAGGCCAAGTGTCCATAGGAAATAGGAATTCAGATTTAAAGGCCATTTTCACATTAGAACTGCACCTGATGATTTTCTGTCAAACATTCAGATTTTTAAACAATGAAAGTACCGATTTTTCAAAATCCTACAATTGTTTATCATTCCTATGACATAAAAGACTGCATTTTACATGTAGAAAGCTTGAGAAGGCCAACACTGTAAACATTCTCATGTCAACTTTATCCTGGTCTTCTGGTTTGATCACCAAGGAAGTCTCTTTGAGAATTCAATGAATGAAATTACCAAAAGGCCGAATCGGGAGCACATCTGTGTGTGTACCAGCAGCTGACTGTGTACACAATGAGCAGCCAACTGTGTGCACACAGATGCTCCTGATGGTGTGCACATACATGAGCAGTTGTGCTCTTCCTGGTTCCTGTCATTTGGTGGCGGTCCTATATCATCATTTCTTCTTCAGGATAACTATCTTCCTGAATGTTTGGTTGCCTATTTTTTAAATAGTGGGAAATATAAGTCATGTGAACACATTTAGCTCAAGAAAGGAGGGATACCTTTACAAAAGGTCTATCATATCTGAAAACCTATGAAATAGAAATCATAAAAGGAATATTCTAAGTGCTCAAGGATAAGAGAGGGTCCCATCCAATAGTCCCAGATAGCCAAGTCTCTACACCCAAAGGCAGCTCAGTAATTAACTGCCCTAACTGGAGATAAAAGGAGGAAGTCCTGGCTGTGCTGGCGTTAAAGGCCTGCAATCCTCCACTTGGGGAGGTTGAGGCGGGGTGGTCATAATTTAAGGCCAGCCTGACCTACATAGTAAGAACCGATCTTGAAAAATTAAAATTAAAAAAAAAGAGAGAGAGAAAAAGCAAACAAAAAAAGAAATCAACAGGGAATGAAGTAGGAAGATCAAGTTGTCCCATCACCCTGGGCTGTTTCTTCTGGATCCCCTTGTCTACTCTAGTGGCAGCTTTGGTATACGAATGAACAAATGAAGTAAAGTGACACCGAGACCTAACGAGTTTGACTTGAAGCATGCTCTTCACTACTACAGCTCAGGCCCCAGGAAACACTTGGCTAACTATTCTCTTTGCACAAGAAATTGGTTACTTGGGGAGAAATTTTGGTCTGGGACCAATAGGCATCCTGCCGCTATTATACATAGGAGCCCACAGAAAGGAGACCCTGGTAAAGGCATCACACTAGATTCAGAAGTTGGTTAGGTCTTAGAACTGTCAGCTTAGGCCTGATAAAAATCAGTTTTATTGTAGCATCTAGGCTGTAATATCAGTCTGGGTGTGCCACAGAACTTGATTTGGTTTTGGCTTCCTGGCCACGGTTACCTGTTCTGTTTGTGAGCCTGTTGCACCCTCAAAGCATGCAAACAGAGACTTGACTCTCTGGGTAACTACTGTGTTGGTTTCCAGTTTGTTCCCAGCCTGAGTTAGCAAAGAGCAGTCCTGGGAGAAGTCACCTTGGGTCACAGACCATCGAGAAAGGAATATCCCATGGGAATGGGCCTGGAGGGGCTGTTAACCAAGAGGAGGGTTTCTGCAGTGCCTGGCCATGTTTGCAGACTCTCTGCCCCCTTAAGAAGATGAAAGCTGCCCCTTCCATTGCCTGCACGTGTGGGAAAGCAGGTGGGATGGTTCATCGTTTGCTAAATGGAACCTTTTTCTATTCCTTCCTTGCAGGCTGCGGAGGAACTCTTTTTAGTGACAATGGTATATTAACCAGCCCTGGCTATCCTGGCAGTTACTCCAACAACACTCACTGTGAATGGACCATCATTGCCCCTTCTGGAAGACCTGTCAACATCAGGTTCCCTTTTGTCAATATCAACCCTCCAGGAGACTGTGCCCACAACTACCTCGCTTTCTATAATGGGCCAGACGACAGCTCACCATCCTTTGGAACATACTGTGGAATAGTGAGTAAAACATTATTAGATTTTCACATGTGATTTTTCAACATTGACGGTAACCGTATAGGCACATGCAAAAAACAAAGTCTCAAGTCAGTGATTTTCTATTTTGGGAGCATGAGCGCTATCTGGTGGCAGATATGTTATATTACACTCATCCCCAAACCCTGTAGAATTAGGGCATTATATGTTTCTAATAATTCTCCTCATTATTCACACGAGTCTTTCAATCAAACTGGACAAGCATTATATCACTGGAAACCTAGAGAATTAAAAATATATAAATTAGTTTTAAAATTTGTTGTAAAATTTTATTCTTAAAAATATCAGTAAGTACATCAAAAATTTAAAAGCTTGAGAATGCTATTACCAGAACCTTTCTTTGAACATATACACATATCTGCATATTTTATACTATCTAATCATTTACTAATCTATCACTAGTATCTTACCACACCGATTAGGTACACTTTCTACGTAGCTGGGTAGAGCCCAGATTACTTACCAAAGCCCCTCTGTTCGGAAAGGAAGTTCTCCTTTACTTCCCACGACTACAGCTGACGCTCCAGGAAACCTTTTGCTAACTGTATCTTCACACAGGAAGTTGGTTACTTGGGGAGAAATTTTGATCTTGGGATCAGTAGGCATCCTGTCGCTATTATACCCAGGATAAAATCAAAGAGATAAATTGATAAATTTTATCTTTGTACAGCTCCTGTTTGTGTATTTCAGTACCTTCCAAGCATTCGGCTCCATTTGATCCCACAGTCGACAGCCTGTGCTGTGGGAAGAACAGTTTACTCTGGACTTTGCAGCTGAAGGAGACCTGGGGCACTAGGAGGCAGGCAGATGACTCCCATGTAGACCAGTGTCACATTAAATCCAAGGATATTACTGGATATGCTGGTGCTTTCAAAATATACTCCCTCCCATGTGTAATTATTTTTTTCTTTTATTTTGTTAAATGAAAGGCATCATCAATTTATTTAAAATTTCACGAGGTTAACCTGAAACATAAAGCCTAAGAATAAAAGAAAAAAAGTAAAACACTGGCATAAGATGTCCGGTCCCATGCGCTCCTCCAGCAGCTGGCGTCAGTGTGATGATCTGCATGTGCTTTATGTTGCAGTAAAGATGCATGCCACTGTTCACACTCAGTTCAGAGATCTAGGAAACGAAAGACCAATGGGACTTCATCATTACCTCCCCACCCATCACCTCTCAGCCTCCTGTCCCTGGAAGCATTCTGTTGTATTAATTAATGCATTAATTATTGGCAAGTTACTTCTAGAAATATATGTTGGTTCACTATCAGAACTTACAGAATATAAACTCCATAAAGTTTCTATAGGTAATACTTTAAATAGGCTGACATTTCTAGAAGTATGTTCAATTTAAAAACTAACCTTTTCTCCCTTCAATTTTAGTATACGAGTATAGCCGACTTCACAGCTTCATCCAATCAAGTCTTCATAAGATTTCATGCTGAGTATACAACGCAGCTGTCAGGGTTCCAGTTATGGTGGGACAGCTGAATTGGGAGAGCCGTGTGCAAGCCCAGGACTCTGGCTCTGCCACAGCATCGTCAGATGCCACCCTGCCCAGAACTCTGCCTTCCTTATCCCCATGGCTGCCTGTGCAATCAAACAGTGAACTGAACTTCTGTGGCCTTTACCAGAGACAGCATGGAATGAATTTTTCACAGTTGGTGTTCTGAATACAGAGCATAACTTTGTTCAACTCAGCTGTACACACCATTCTTACCGGATGCACCATTTAGCTGGCATCTTTTAAGAAGTTCTTCAAAATATCCTGGGGCATATTAATGTACATTTGTATTGTGATACACATATGTGCATTGTTTTCACTACAAAAGTCAAAGTCAAGGTAATAAACGTTACTAAAAACCATGTACGGTTCTATTGTCTTCATTTTTAACCCACTGTAACTTGGTTTTGCACTGTGGCTTGGGGTAGAAGAATTTTCTGTGACCTCTGAAACTGTTCTCCATCATGAACTTTCCAGCTTCCGTTCCCATGCATGCTGGGTCTTTCCACTGATCATTCCCAGGACTCTGTGCTAGCCTGGCTGTTGAATCTCTGTGCACCCTCCACTCAATATTACTCATGGCTCTGTAGTCCTAGATTGTCCCCATTAGCAGTTCTTACTTAGGTTCCATCTGTCAGGTATTTGTCACAGTCATGCTTCTGCACACTAAGGGTGCTTCTTTCTTCCTTCACATGTCTGTGGTAAGAAAGGGTTTGTTTTGCTCACTGTTTTAGAGAGTTTCTTTTCATCACACTGAAAAGGGCACGGTGGAATAGGCAGTAGACCCAAGTACAGAACTACCCACTTTGCAGAAAACCAGGAAGCAGCACCACCAGCTGGGGACCAAAGGTTCTGTAGCCTTCCCAAACAGCACCACCAGCAAGAAACCAAAGTTCTACAGCCTCCCTCAACAGCACCATTAGCGGGGAATCAACTAACTGTTTAAACTGAGGAGCCTGTGGGGGCATGTCAGACGCCAACCACAACACATTACATTTTCAGAAAAAAAAATCAGCCCTTTATCTCCATTGCACAGCAGCTGTTTGGCTCTTCAATTTCACATACACTCTCTTCACATCATTGGCGTCCTGCCGCCCTCCATGTTATACTGCACACATTGTACTTGCTACAGCGGAAACATCCATCATGCTTCTAGCCTCACAGTTAACACCTTCAACTCACACAGGTCATCAGTTCTTATTGTATGTGTGTTTTATTTAACACCTTCCTATTTCCCTTCATGCCTTGTTTCAAGTTACTACTGTAACAGACGAGAATCAATGACTATTTGGTTGTAGAAGTTTGTTGTTTCTGTCTGTTTAAAAGATGTGAGTAAAAGCAAATTCTCAAAGAAATAACGTTCTGAGGAGTGTTCTAGTTCTGAAGCACATTCTATATATTTCTATTCAAGTTAAGCCAAGAGTATAGAGCATTTGCTGTAGACAATCCTATTTATTATCAAGTATAAAAATGCACAGACCCACAAAACAAAGCCTTGCATATGCCAGCTTGTCCCTGAGTAGTGGCAATCGCACTTCTCAATCACGGTGTGTTGACATGGTGTGTTGTCTTAGGGCGTGTGGCTCCTGTAAGCACTACCTCCTTGGGTGCCCTATCCTTGCAGTACCACCATGCAGCTCTGTCAAGAATGAGAGCATCCCATGGCGTGTTGTTGCCTCCTACTTTTCCAGATGGGTAACTAAGAGAGGTGCATATTAGCTTCCTTTCTGCATGAAAACCCAGTGCTTTCTGGAGGTTTCCATGGCCTCCAGCAGAGCAGATGACGTCACAGAAGGAAACTTACTACAGTTTAACTAAGCAAAGTGAAGTCGTTAAGACCTGCACTGAATGAGAGAGTGTTGTTTCATCTAACTTGAGCACTCCAATACTGGGAAGTTGTTTCTGTACAGAACATGCAACTCCATCAATGAAGTATTATCACCTTACATAGCCCTGCTCCCATTAGCTATACATATGTCTCCAGTTTATAGATAATGCTGTATTGGAAATAGGGTAAAGCAATGGATAACATCATTACATCCAAAGGACCTTGACAAGCTGAAACAAGGGACCAATTGCAAGAAGACCAGAATTCAAAAGTGATACATATATGACGATATACATCAGCTCGATCTGGCTTTCAAGACATTTTCATGTCACATCTGTAATCTTTCTCACATTCTGCACCTTTGCAACGCATTTAGGAAGAAAGAGCAAGATCATGCATTCATCCCTACAAAGAGAGCAAAACACAACCAGGGTCTTCATCATTCTGTAGTCCCACTTCCTGGACATACTAGCATGCATCTGAGAGAAGTGTGGGTCCCTCTGAGTGGAAATCACTCTTACAGATACCATTGTTCTGTGGACACCAAGTGAGACAAAGCTGGCTCTCTCTGGAGAAGCCCCATCTCTTAGTCACTGGTTCTGGTTTATAATTCATTCATTTATAAATGCTTATTGAATGTCTATCCTGTGATACTCACTAAACACACTGAGGAGAAAATGAAGACCGCCACAGATTTCTATGAACTGACATCTCCCTACTGCACAATGCAGACTTCCCAGTTCCATCCTTCCTGGGTTCTTGTGTGAACCCTCCCCTCCCCTCCCCTTCCTGTCCCCTCCCCTCCTTTCCCCTCTCCTCCCTTCCTGTCCCCTCCCCTCCCTTCCCCTCCCCTCACTTCTCCTCCCCTCCCATGTCCTCCCATTTCCTCCCCTCCCCCATCCTTTTGGAATTAGACTTTCTTGTCAGATTTTCTTAGAATCACCAGCTCCCCAATAATGACACGGGGACTTATCATTAATTATGAAAGCTTGGCCTTTACCTTAGGCTTGTTCCCAACTAGCTCTTATAACTCTAATTAACCTGTTTCTAATTATCTACATTCTGCCACTTGGCTTTTACCTCTCTCCCATTCTGTACGTCCAACTTGTTCCCAGTCTCACGAGATCTCTCCAGGGCCTAGATTCATCTCCAGTTCCTCTCTCCCTGGAAGCCCTGCCTAGCTACTGGCTGTACAGCACTTTAGTAAACCAATCAGAAGGCACTGTTCACATCGTGTGATCAAATCTCCGGCAACATCCTTTTCCCTCTCATCTTTCCTCACCCCTTTTCCTCATCTTTTCTGCTTTCCTTCACACCTCTTCTTTCCTTATTCCTTTGCACATTATTTTTTAACAGTCTTTAAATGTATCTAATGTGGGTCTCAACTTGTCCTGTAGCATCAAACTAAAATCTTCCTGCCTCCACTTCCCAAGTGTTAGATTAAGGGTATGTGCTACCATGCTCAGCCTCAATTTTCTTATCTGGTGAAACTTACCCTAAGTCAACTCCTCAGAGCAAGTGGTAAGGGACTTTTTTTTCCTTCTCATTCCCAGAGTGATTCATTCTAAAGCTTCATTGCCATCAATCAAATAATTAGTTGATATTTCCACTGGCATTCTAGTGCTTGGGATACACACACACACACACACACACACACACACACACACACACACACACACACGTTCCTTCCGGGCCCTAAATAGGAGCCCATAAAGCCAAAATGTAAAATGCATGGTCACCAGGTAAGTGGCAGCGAGCCTTGTTTAGAGTTAATGGAAAGTTGTACTCTGTATGACTCTGAAGGAACCTAAAGGAAATACAAATGTAGTTCAAAAAATGAAATAAAATGTAGAGAAAAGGAAATGTCTGCTTTTTGGAGAACTGAGAAAATCCCAAGGTCATAGATAAACCACTCACTTGAGGGAAAATGGGACCGTAAAGCATCCTATCTGAGATAGGCCAGGTCAGAAGACAAGATCTCGGCACCAGCACCCCTTCCTTTTCCCGACACCTCATGTCCCAGCAATAAGCAGCTTAATACAGAATAGGAAGCAGCTTTCTAATTCAGTCTTCTGTGATCCAACCTAGTCTCTCATAGTCTGGGGTCAGGGGTGGTAATGGAGGAAACTAGCTTTCCACTGCCCTCTGATGCCCCTCCCCCCACTAACTAAGCTGAGCTTCCTTTTAATATTCAAGATAAAGTGCACTGTCTCTCGCCAGAGCGTCTAAGTTTGACCTTTAGGATCTGGCTGGGATACCTTTCTTAGAGGTTCAAAGACTCACATAGGGCCCTATCCTGGTTGATTTTCTGTCAGTGTGGCATAAGTTAGAGTTATCTAAGAAGAGGAACCTCAGTGGAGAAAATGATGCCAGCAGAGTCCCTGTAGTTAAGTCTGTGGGGACATTTTCTTGATTCATGATTGATGTAGGTAGGGGCCCAGCTTACTATGGGCAGGTGGGCCTGGATAGCATAAGAAAGCAGGCTGAGCAAGCCATAGGGAGCAAGCCAGTAAGCACCGCCTCCATGGCATCTGCTTCCTTCCTGCCTCCAGGTTCCTGCCTTGACTTCCTTCTGTAGGTAGAGTTTTCCTGCCTGGCCCACAGTCAGGACAAATCTCTCTCACCCGCCAGTCCCACAGCCGTCAGACCCAATCAAGTAAACACAGAGACTTATATTGGTTACAAACTGTATGGCCGTGGCAGGCTTCTTGCTAACTGTTCTTACAGCTTAAATTAATCCATTTCCATTAATCTATACCTTGCCACGTGGCTCGTGGCTTACCAGCATCTTCACATGCTGTTTGTCATCGTGGCGGCTGGCAGGGTCTCTCTGACTCAGCCTTCCACTTCCCAGCTTTATTCTCCTCCTTGTCCTGCCTACACTTCCTGCCTAGCCAATGGCCAATCAGTGTTTTATTTATTGACTAATCAGCAACACATTTGCCATACAGAACATCCCACAGCATCCTTCTCTGCTCAAGTGTGACCCAAGAATTCTAAGATGAAATAAACCCTCTCCTCCCCAAGTTGCTTTGGATCATGGTGTTTATCGCAGCAGAAGAAACACTAAAAGACAGGCTCAATGGAATCTGTGGAGACTGGAAGCATTCTTCTGACAAACACTCCAATGGAAATATAGGCCATGACTGTTTGAGATCAGAAAACGCCATAGATGTAGGTCTTACTACTCAAAACTTCCGATTTCATTTAAAGTCCAGTTAACAGGAAGAATTTCTTCAGAAGTCTTCCATGTAGTTCCAGGGAGAGAATTTTAATGCAGCCCTGGCACTGTTCCAGGCACAAACAAGTTCCCTGTGTGACATATATAATTCACTGGAACGGTAAGAACCATTACTCCCACTTCACAGATGAGAAAAATGAGTTATAGAAAACATATACAGACCCATAGTGACAGAGTTGTGATCTGTGTAACCATGGGAAAAAGAGTCTCATATCTAAAGGACTAGATATGACTCATTAAATACGATAGTTGATGTACAGCTATAGACTCACTGGAGAGTTTTTGAAGATGTGAG